TGCTCATCTCAGTTCTAAAGGGTTCTTCCTTCACTCTGAGACTGTTCCCTCAGGTCCTCAACTCTCCTACTAGCAGAAACCTCTTCTTCCAGGCCTCTCAGTATTCTGTAAGTTTCAATTCCCCCTTCATACTTCTAAACTCCATCAAGCACGGACCCACAGCCCTCAACTGCTCCTCATTTGATAAGTCCTTCACCCCCAGGATCATTGTTGTGAATCTTCTCTGGACCCTCCTACGATACAGGGCCCAAAACTGCTCACTATATTGCAAATGTGGTCTGACCAGAGTCTTATACAGCCTCAGCAGTACATCCCTGTGCTTCTGTGGCCTTTTGTGCACTATGGCTGCTCACAAATGCTGTATACTCTATTAATCAAATAGCGACTGGAACATTTAACCTCTATAAGCTGCACCGCATCAATTACAATGTGTAACAATGAGAGAGGTTCAGTACCCATGACTCTTCAGTTTGGTTCTGCCATGTCTCCACAAGTCAAATCCACTGGTTCCAGGTCACCAGCTCCCCAAAAGTGTTGAAAAAGGCTTTTGTCATTTATCTGTGGAAATACTGGTCCTAATGAACAATATGTTGCTTCTTTATATTCCACTAACAGAGCAGAAAGGTAAAGTCAAGGGATGCAAAGTTTCAGCACATAGATTAAATTGCAAGGCTTTAATATTAATTAATGTCGGTTGTCAATTAGATGTGATAAATCCATACGAGATTTTGAAAATAAAGGAAATCAGTTGGAGTGATGAAGTGTCATTTCATTCTGTATGTGTACATTGCTACATTATTTAAAAGCCACAGTTGAAAACTCAAAGCTGAATATAACATGAGGCTCTGCGCAAGATATATAACAGGGATCAGTGCAATATGTTTCATTTCCACACGGAGAACAGTACTTAGCTCAATTTTCAAGAGATACCTGTGTTTATATAGCGTGTTTCATGGCCACCTGATATCTCAACGCACTTTATAGCCAATGAGGTGATTTTGAAGGATGCTTACTGTTGCAACACCATAGCTAATATGTGTACAGCAAAATTCCACACCCTGTAATGCGATAATGGCAAGATTATACAAAAATTAGATTAAGACAAAACGCCGCGGATACTGGAAATCTGAAACAACCATAGAGAATACTGGAGAAACTCATCAGGCCTGGCAGCACCTGTGGAGAGAGGAACAGAGTTAATGTTTCAACTCTCTGCAGTTCTGAAGCATAGGCATACCGGACTCAAAATGTTAACTCTGTTTTCCTCTCTCAGCCGTTCTCATTTTTGTGATGTTGATAGAGAGATAAATATTGTCCAAGACATTGAGGAGATCTCCTCTGCTTCGAAATAATGCAAAATCCAATTCTAAATTCAACTAAGCAGGCAAATGGGAACTCTGTTGTCTCTCATTTGAAAGATAGCACGCCCAACATGCAGGAATCGCTCAGTCATACCCTGGATTTTAGTATTAATGTTCAAATCTTGGGATTAGATTGAACTGGAATCTTTGCAACCTTGCAAAGGTGAACATAACATCACAGATGTTGCTGTAAAAAATTTTCAAGAGCCTGCTCATCCTTTCTCAATAGATAGAACATGACTGTTCTAGTACCATTTACATTATTGGCTAAATATAATAATTATACTTAATATGTACCTTACTAAATGTCCTTCAGACCAGAGTGCCAAATTCCCATTGGGTGATACTTTGCACTGGGAATTGAGAGTTACACCAGTTACTCGTGTATGTAACATGTGCAATCAATGGCTGTTTACTACCGATGAGGTAACCTCAGCAGTGAGACATATCCATTTAACAAACAAGTGAACAGCAAAAGCAAATTATTCAAATGTTATTGTATGGAGCTGAGTACAGTATGTGAAATCTTTTCAAGATGTGACAGCTACACTTGGATGCAATATACAAAAGCCACAATGGGACAGACAGGTAAAAGGGCAATTATTAACAGGGTGATCATTAATTTAATGCAAATTGCAGGGAAGTCCTTAGAATTATAATTTGGCATCAGATTAGCGAGCATTTAGAAAAGCACAAGATATTCAAGGGCAGTCTACATGCACTTCTTAAAAGGAAAATACTGTTTGATTACCATAAGGGGGATTTTATTTTATTTGAGGAAATTACCAACTACCATTGGCTGGATGAATTGGATGCAGATATGTGTGTTCCGAAAGTGTTCAGTCTTTCACAGGAGACTCAATCCAAGGGGCAGGATTTTCAGCTCCCACCAGCTGTAGAAATGGAGGCAGGAAGAGTGGAATTTCACACCAATGGCTTGCATCATGGTTCCAGGTTCCAATTCTGTCTCAGGCTACTTTCCCAGAGGTGTGCTGAGGGGTGGGATTTCAAGTAATAGGTGTCATACAATTCGAGTGAAAGAAAGTAGGGAGCAAAATCACTAAACTCGTGCAAAGACAATAAGCCTCTGGACAAAATTATAAAAAAAGTAGTCATATGATTGTAAAAAAAAGGAGCATTGTTGAAAAAGACGAAATTTTGTTGAAGCATTTTGCCTTGCACAAATCAGGACAATTCACAAGAATACAACAGAGAATAGAAACCAACATTTATACTGTACGAGAACAGCATGGTGATTGGTTGGCAAGGGGACTCTGATTGGTAGAGACACGCCATGAAGGACACATCAGTTATACATAGTATCCCTACGGTGTGGAAACAGGCCATTCGGCCCAATGGGTCCACACCAACCCTCTGAAGAGTGTTCCACCCAGGCCCAGCTCCTTAACCCTCTTAACCTACACATCCCTGGACGCTATGGGTAATTCAGCATGGCCAATCAGTCTGACCTGCAAATGTTTGGACTGTGGGAGGAAAACAGAGCACCGGGTGGAAACCCCATGCAGATACAGGGAGAGCCTGCAAACTCCTCACAGAAAGTCACCTGAGGCTAGAATCAAACCCAGGTCCCTGGCTCTGTGAGGCAGCATGCCACCCACCGTGCTGCCTATCGATGACAGATAGCTAACTGCCACGCTTGCTTTATTTTAAAATGGGCAGGTTGCCTGTGATTGGTCAATGAATTGCTTCTGATACCTATTCAAGTCTGATGGGATTCCGAAAACCCATGGAGAGATTCCTGCCCCAGGTGCATGGCATAAGAAGCAGTATTGATAGAAATTAGTGAGCTAAAAGGAAAATAAAGTTTAGATTAATGGGTGCTGTTTGAATGAAAGACTTTTCCCAAACAAGAAGGCCCTACTAATTTCAGTAAAATGAAACAAAGAACTGTGGCTGCTGGAGTTCTGAAACAAACTAAAACAAAAATTGTTGGAGAAACTCAGCAGGTCTGGCAGCATCTGTGGAGAGAGAAAACAGAATTAATGTTACAAGTCCAGTGTCCCTTAGGACTCAAAATGTTAACTCTGTTTTCTCTTCACAAATAGTACCAAACCTGCTGAGTATCTCCAGCAATTTTTGTTTATGTGCTTCCCACACATTTTAAAGGTGCCTCAAACACATGCCAAACAAGCACAGTGTGTTCCATCACTAAATGTCACGGACATTAGGAATTATGATAAAAAACATTGAGAATACTTGCTTAGGCATTCTTTCCTTCAGTACCTTGACAGGATAAGAACTAAAAAGACATTTACATCACGTGCATATACTTATTTATGAGATCTTATTTAATGAAGGGCACTTGTGTGTTTCTGTATAAATGTTAATTGTAGTCAAGACTGCACCCTAAATTCACACACGACCTTCACACAATAGCATAACAATGACAGGAACTGATTTTCTTCTATCCTATTTACCTCATTATACTGGCAACATTGCTGTCCACCATCTGCCAACACATTGACAGGAACAAATTGGAATTGATTTCTCCCTCATACTGCCACAGGATGCTGCTAACATGTATGCTATTTAATAACATCTTGCGGCTGTTAAAGTGTCTGGGAAAGTCACTAATTTCATGGCACATAGCTCGGGCTAAGTTTCAGTATCACTCTTAGTGAACAGGATATTTAAAGCTAATACTGGAACAGAGTCCTCCGCTCAGTGAGTTCCAAAGGTCGAATGAGTCTCTTGGATAGGGAGTACAAGAAAAACAGGAGGCACATTCAAGATGCTGTGAGGCAATGCAAGATTTCAGGTAGTGGGTGGATCAGAATCAGTCAGCTAAACGTCCTTTACTTGTCCTTGGGTTTTCTTTGCTTTGACATTTGTCTCTGGCGTTAGCTGTGGCTCAGGGAATAACATTGCCCTCAGAGGCAGAAGGCTGTGGGTTCAAATCCAATCCAGAGATTTAAGCATGTAATCTCAATGATACTCCAGTGCAATGCCATGTAGGAGGACTGATAGAAAGCAGGATAACAAGGTGTAGAGCTGGATGAACACAGCAGGCCAAGCAGCATCAGAGGAGCAGGAAAACTGACGTTTCGGGTCTGAACCCTTCTTCAGAAAATCTGAAGATAGAAATTGGGGTTCCTCTAAAACTGAATATTTCCTGTATAGCATGAGACTTCTTCTAACTGCTGCTACGACGTGATCACCATTCCCCAAACATAAAAGATAATCTAATAAACAAGATTAACAAAGTGCACCAAGACCATTGTGTTCTATAAATGCCAAAGAACTATATTATCGTCAGTGAAACCTTGCTCATGAGTCTGATTGCCCACCTCAGAAATTAGGTGTCGCTAGTCACAGGCTCCATGGGCTCCTGTGCGCTTTATGCGCCCAATCCTAGAACCACATCTCTGACCAGCATGTTGGGAGGTGGAATTGGTCTTTGGCCTTGAGGTCACTGGCATATGTTTCTCCGGTTCCTTTTCTATCTTTCCTCTTGCTGTCGACTTCTCAAAGAATTGTGTCCCTTCACACAGGAGCTCCCTCCAAAGACGGGTTTCTCTCGATCAAGGGTCCCCCACGAAATGATGCCTATGATGCATTTCTTGAGGGAAGCCTTCAGAGAGTCTTGGAAATGCTTCCTTTGTCCTTCTTTCATTTGAGTGCCTTCCTTGAGCTAGGCGAAAATGATTTCTTTGGCAGTCGGAACTTGAGCATCATAATCACGTGGCCAGACGAGTGGAGTTGGTTTCAGATGATCATGGCACCGATGCTGGTACTATTGACTGCTTGGGAAAAGAGCTTTATGTGGCACTATATGTAAATAGAAAGCAAAGTTAACATTTCAGGTCCAGTGACCCTTCCTCAGAACATGTTGTTCGGTGTTCTGAAGAATGGTCACTGGACTAACACCGCTTTCTCTCCGTAGATGCTGCCAGACCTGCTGAGTTCTCCCAGCAGTTTCTGTTTCTGTTTCTGATTTCCAGCATCTGCATCCTTTGGATTTTTTTATCATTCCTGAGATAAGTGGATTGCTCTATGAGAAGGGGTTGAGTAGACTAGCTTTATGTTCCCCAGAAAATTAGAATAGTGAGAGGTGATTAATGAAAATATATCAGAGATAGTAGGAACTGCAGATGCTGGAGAATCTGAGATAACAAGGTATAGAGCTGGATGAACACAGCAGGCCAAGCAGCATCAGAGGAGCAGGAAGGCTGACCAGAAAGCTCCCCCTCCCCTCTCTCCCTATTTATTTCAGAACCTCCTTCCCCTCCCCCACTTCTGAAGAAGGGTCTAGGCCCGAAACGTCATCCTTCCTGCTCCTCTGATGCTGCTTGGCCTGCTGTGTTCATCCAGCTCTACACCTTGTTATCTAATGAAAATATATACAGCTTTAAAGGGACTTGACAAGATAGAAGTTGTTGGGATCTTTCCATGGGCTTGGCAGTACCAAACTGAAAGACACAGTGTTAGAAAAAAGTGTTTGCCATTTGGAACTGAGATGAGGCAAATGTTTTCACTCTAAGGATTGTGAAACTTTCAAATTGTCCATCCTGATTGAATGCGGATGCTGAGTTGCTGAGTACATTCCAGACAGAGATTGATAGATGGCTAAATCCTAAAAGAAGTAAAGGTTATGGAGATAGTGCAGGAGGGTGAAGCTGAGGTGAAAGAACATCCAAAATCATGTTGAAGGCTCGAAGGACTGAATGGCCTATTTCTGCTCTTACTTCTTATGTTCCTAAAACAGAATATCTGTTCATTATGCCATTACTGTCTATGGGATCACACTGCGTGTAGTTGGTCACTGAATTTCCCACACTGTTACAGTGACTACAATTCTATAATGTTCATTCCTTCTTTATTTTTCTCTTTCTTTCTTTCTTTCTTTCTTTCCTTCTTTCTTTCTTTCTTTCTATCTTTCTCTCTATCTTTCTCTCTCTCTTTCTCTCTTTCTTTCTCTCTTTCTCTGTGTTCCTCCCTCTCCTTGTAAGGATCACTTGCAATTCTGCAAAGGGTTTCATTATTACAATCAAAGCAGTAAAGTAACCTGCCCAATTGTAGTGGGGCAGGTGGGTCAACGAGAGACATTGCATCTTTGCTTAAGCATTAGTTTTGAAAGACAGAATGCAGTGTGAAACATCAAAATTATTTCACACAGTTTCTTGTCGATTGGTCACACTTTGGTTCTGGATTCCAGTCCTGCTCCAGTCATATCACAAACGTCAAGGCTCATACTCCAGTGCAACATAGAAGGGGTGTTGTCCTGCTGGAGGTGCTGTCCTTTGGTGTGATGTTAAAGCGTTATGTTTGAGTGGATGTAAAAGATCCCAAGGTACCATTTGGAAGAAGGGCTGGGATGTTCTCCTCAGTGTCCTGGCTGATAATTATCCTCAATCAACATTGAGGAACTGGATTATCTTCTCAGAAAATCTCTGATTGGCCGTCCAGCTTTGAGAAATCATCTGCTTCCCTTAGTTGGGTAGCAGTCCTGTCTCTATCCTAGTTTGGGGTGGTGGGGGTTGCCCTGTCAAAATCCCAAATGCTTACTGCTCCCGGACATGGGTGCGTTTGGGATTGGGAATCAATCCGCCTCCTGAGCCCTGCCCCTGAATTGAAAATTCAGCTCCTATTGAGCCTAGACAGAATGAAATGAACTAAAGAGGGTAACAATCTATAAAAGGAAAAGAAACAGAAGGCAAAACAGTTGACACCACTAAAAACACAACAAAAATAATCACAAAGTAATACTTTTTTTGCACCATCTGTAAATGTAGAATTGAGTTACTTTAGAATTCATTTTCTGCCTTCAGTCCATTGCTTAGCAACCCTGTATGACAGTTCTGATTATGAATTAGAACAAGTGAGGCAGGAATGACGACAAATTGAGATGCAGGAAGTTGTTACATCAATGCTCCCTTCACTTGTGTGAGGGGAGGTTGGATTCTGGATAACTGTGGATGGAACATGTAGAATGCTGAAAAATAAAAACAAAATTCTGTGGATGCTGGAAATCTGAAATACAACAGAAAGCACTGGGAAAACAGAACTAATGTTTCAAGTCAAATACAATGATTATTTGGGATTGAAGAGTCAGATTGGTGGAAGATTCTCCTTAGATTCTTTCTACACAAGGTGCTGCCAGACCTGCTGAGTTTCCAATTATTTCTGTTTTCATTTCAGCTCTTCAGCATCTGCAGCACTTTACTTTTAGGAAGGTTTTTCCTTCATAGCATGAGAATTCAAGTGCAGGAGCAGGGATGTCTTGCTGCAATTGTACAGAGCATTGGTAAGACCAAACCTGGAGTATTGTGTGGTCCTTTTCTCCTTATGTTATCTTATGTTATCTTGTCTTATCTTATCTTATCTCCTTAAGGATGTTCTGACTATGGAAGGAATGCAATTAATATTCATCAGACTGATTCCCGGGATGGCAGGACTGACATACGAAGAAAGACTGGATCGATTAGGACTATATTCACTGGAGTTTAGAAGAATGAGAGAGGGATTCATAGAAACCTATAAAATTCTAACAGGACTAGACGGAGTAGATGCAGGAAGGAAGTTTGTTACGGTAGGAGAGCCCATAATCAGGGATTCACAGTTTAAGGGTAGGCGATTTAAGATTGAGACGAGGAGAAATTTCTTCACCCAGAGAGTGGGGAGCCTGTGGAATTCCCTGCCATAGAAAGTGCTTGAGGCCAAAACATTGAATGTTTTCAAGGAGTGAGATATAGTTCTTAGGGCTAAAGGGATCAAAGGGTATGGGGAGAAAGAGGGAACAGGGGATTGAGTTAGATGAACAGCCTTGATCATATTGAATGGTGGAGCAAGCTTTAAGGGCCGAATGGGCTGGGCTACTCCTGTTCCTATTTTCTGTTTTTCTAAGACAACAAGGTGCAGGGCTGGATGAACACAGCAGGCCAAGCAGCATCATAGGAGCAGAGAGGCTGACGTTTCGGGCCTAGACCCTTCATCAGAAAA